AGCCAATCCGGAACCCTCCTTCTTTCTTCTCACTTCTACTTGCAAATTCAGTGGTTCCTGCTTTAACTCATTTCTCTCTCTTCCTGTACCTTCCTGTGCAATGGTAACATAGCCATGGGTGCTTTTAGCATTCTGCCCAGAAATCTCTTCAGCCAGACCGACACAATTATTAGATCTATTTTTTCACCTTACGGATTACTACAGATAACAGTTTTGCTGATGGTTTCAGCAGTGCGGGTTGCCCTTTTTCCAGCCTCCTCAACGTGGGAGGAAGCAACACAAGTGCACGGGTGCTGGGAGGCATGATTAGTTGAGGAATCACTGCCTCCCATGCTATCTCTTCTAGATACCTTACTGATTACATGAGGTGATTTACACATAAAGCACTTAAAGTCTCACAGGCCGATACTGGAACTCAGTTCTAAAGTTGCTCTTGCTTGATGTTTGGAGAGATCCATCCACGCTTGCTCTATTCATGGTCTAATGAGGAACAAAGAGTTGAGCAGATGGGACAGGTTATATGTAGGACATTGTGCAAAAAGCTTCAACTGTGTTTCGTCGTTTCGTCCTCAAAGCAGTCCATTTTACAGATGAGGAAATGAGTTACAGAGAAACCAAGGCAATCCAGCAAAGGAGAGGTGGAACCAGGGCCTGAGTCCAGGCTGCCTAGCTCTGGGGCCTGTGTTCGTAATCACTGTCCCACAGCCGTCAGTGCTCAGGGAAGGCAGAAGAGACAGGGAAAGGGTGGAAAACAAGGCCTGGTGTGCAGAAGAAAGCAGGGCAGCATGCCAAAGTCTGTCTATATTCTTTTCAGGTGTTTAGTCCTTTGGGTTTTCTGCATAAACTGTTCTTCTAGAACCCTTTTCTCTGGTGACCAGCTTTCTCAATCAAGGCAGATGTGTTGGGAGGTATTATTTTTTCTAGTTGATCTCCCTTGATTCTCATATCTGAACTAAGCTTGTTAAATTTCAAATATTCTGATGTGTTGTGAAATAATGGCCTGAGCACTGGCAAGAGAGCATGTCATATCTCGGAAGACCTTGGCAGGGCTCTGTCACTCTGGTTCTGCTGCTGCCACATCAAGATTTATGACATATGAAGGTGCCCAAGTTTGTAGGGTGAGAAAAAGAAGCAGCTCACGTTTACAATCATCTTTTTAAAAATCCACCCAAATGTTACTGGAGTTGTACTTTATAAAGGGTTTTGGACATATACCCACTTTGGGAAATGATGGGGAGATGTTAAAGATATAAACCAAGGTAGAAGTAGTATCATGTAGGGTGTGTGTCAAGAGAACAGTTTTGAATGAAGCAAGATCCATGCTACTCAACTGTTTTTAGATTAGTTTTTGTTTGTGTGAACACAGAAAGGCCTGGGTAATTAATGTGTCTGCAGGAATCAGAAGATTTATGAGGTTGAAAAAACATGGAGGCCATAGAAGATGCTGCATCTACATAGACGGGTGTGAGTCACACACACGTCAAGCACCCTGAGTTGGAAGCCCATCCCATGAGCAGTGAAGTGAGTTTCAGGTTAATTTCTATTGAAAGTGTCAACAGTTTCAGAAATGTCGGCGTAAATTAGGAGGCCGTTTTGATCTTTGATATTGAAGGGATTTTTTCCATAAATACTGTGCCAGCACAGAAATGTGCCAGCTTATCAGGGTGGTTTGTCATTAAGGACGTTGGTGCTTCAGAGAACTTCTCTTTTCCTCCTTCATAGTATAAATCATTTTCTCTGCCCCAAAACTCTAACAACTTGGGCTGAAAGTCGTGCTATTGCTGAATAAGAGATTGGAAATGGAAATTCAGAATCTCTCTGTGCCCTCTTCCCTTCTGCCTTGCTTCCTCATTTGGGGTGTTTACATCATTTTAAATAAACAGCCTTTTGGACATTTCTAGCAGGAAGTACTCTAGAGCATTAGCTATGATTTATCTCGTGTAATTTCAGCACTCGATAGGAGTCATTTATCCCCATGTTCTGCATTACTGGTTCCCTGACTGAGCGGACGGAATTCGGTGATGTTCTCTGTGCTGCCTTTCTCTCCCTCAAATTCCTGGTGTATTTAAGAAACCTTGAATTTTTTGACGTGTAGCTAATTATATCCATCTTTGGAAAGGGGGAAAGTCATGCACCCTGCGACGGTGATACTTACTATGGAGCAACTATTGCCTTAATTCAAGTATCTCCTTTCTAGTCAAGTTCTTATTATTGACGTAGTGGAGGTTTAGTTTGTTCATTCACTGGATCTGGTAAGGGAGGTGGCTCTGTCGTACACTCCTTCCTGATATACCACGAGCTGGAACGGGGGGTGGCTTTGGAAGCAGCAGGCAGGGTGGATGGTTCCTGATCCTGCAGGTCCGGCCAGAACTGTGTTGCCAGATAGCACTAGTCACTTCTGACTTGACATCCCAGGTAAAGAGGTCTTGAAGGGAGCCAGTGAGAAAAGTAGACCGGAGTAAAAGAAAAGAGAACAATTTCTGGTCAGGTCAGAGTGAGCTGGATTGTCAGCTGCTGAAAAATGGGAGCCGAGAGCCAACACATTTCTGCCCCAGTATGACTCTCAGAAGCACTTTTCGTCTTTCTAGGTAAGGATTTATTAAGATGCTGAAGAGAACAGGGGAGGCTAAAATTACCCAGATTTGTTTTATTATGTTTTTATTTAAATTTAGACAGCAGCTGTCTGTCCTTTTAATTGAGCTGTTCAAATCATAGCTGGGAAGCCAAGCAGCCAATGGCGTGGCACCACACCCCTTGGGCCTCTTTGGGTCTTGGGGTTTACACCTGGCTCCTGGGAGCAGGTCTCAGGTTGCAGAGCTCTGTCTTAAGGCTAACTCCCAGTTATGAATCGTTCCTCTGGCAGCTGACAGTGCCTTTGCGTTTTGGATCTCTAGCAAGGAAGCAGAGCCCCCAACCCAGAGGCAGGGGTGGATGGTGCTTTATTGGTAGGACTTGAGAGAGCTCACAAAGGCTTTTTTTCTCCCAAATATCTCCCATTTGCCACACGAATAGGGAACCATTCCTTTGTGTTAGACAAACGCCCTTTTTAAAAAAAGCTTATCATTGGCACCATAAGATAGGTAGCTTAATTTTCAAAATTTTGAATGAACTGGCTGCATTAGATCCATTCTTTTTCATAACAAAGTGGGCACCTCTGAGTGAAGGGAATGGGGCTCACGGGTCAGGGACAAGGATAAGGCATAGGATACAGGGTGGCAGGCCTGGATCCAGGTAGGGGAAGGGCTCCTGACAATCAATGTGTGCATTCTGAGTGCTAATGATTCCCCAAATCTATGTCTGCGGCCATGACCTCTTTCCAGAATCCCAAATCCATATTGATAATTTCCCTTGGATCTATCCATCTGAAGTCCAGTGGGGCACCCTAACTGTAGCATGTTCAAAATTGAATCCATCTCTTCTCTTTTTGCCCAAACTCATACCTTCTCTGCTCCATGTTTTCTTGAATGCCTCCCCTACTTCCGCACCCAGTCACCAGTCCTGAAAATTCTGTCTCCTCCATCTCTCTGCTCCATGTCCCCACTGCCCCGACTTCTCTCCAGCTCTCAGCTTCTTCCCACAGACAGTTGCAACAGGCATTTAATTGGTCTTTCGGCCTCTCTCTCTCTCGTTCTCTTTTTTTTATTTCCTCCTTTATACCACTGCCAGAATTAACTTGCTATATATAAATCTTACCACTATTTGCCCCTAAAAATCCTTGCTTTAAGTATCTGCTGTTGCCACAGAATAAAATCTGACCTCCCTCGTGACCCCAGAGCACCCTAGATCGTGCCACTTCTGGAACGTGGGTGTTGAGTACAGTGCCTACATACAGGAAGTGCTCTATTAATGTTTATTGTGAATGAGAGAGATGCTTGGTGGGAAAAGAGCTACAAGAGATGACGGAAGGTGCCAGAGGGAGAAGAGAAAGCCCTGAACACCAAATTAACCCAGCAAATGAGATATCACTTACAACCATTAGACTGGGAAAGATGAGCAAGACTCTTCATGCCCAGCCTCGAGGGTGGAGGAGGAAAATGGACAGTTCCATTTGCCATTGGAAGGATGGAATATTGGTGGAGACTTCCTGTAGGAAAATTTTGACAGGGTGCATCAAAGCTTTTAAAGATGATAGAATTTGACCCAGCAGTCCATTTTGAAGAATCCATCTTAAGGGAATGATCTGACAAGGATTCAGTGATGTTTATGTAAAGAACCTTATTTCTACCAGCAATAACATAGTGAGATCCTTATTTCTACCAGCAGTAACGTAGTATCATCTGAAATGTCTGACTAGAAGCAGTTGATTAAATAAACCATAGCACATTTTTATTCTGGATTATTAAACAGCCATTAAAAATGTTAACAAGGAGAGTACGTGTGACCTACTGTGGAGTGAAAAAATTGGTTCTAAAAATATACGCATACTGTAATCTCACTTCAAAATACTAGCATAGAAAAAATCATGAGGAATATGCACTAGCATATCAACTGTGCCTATTCCGAGTTGGTGGTATTCTTTACCTTCTTCTGTATTTTCTGAATTTGGGGGAAACTAATCAGGAATTAGTTGTATAGTGAAGTGCGCATACACAAATGTGCACGCACACACACACTCCCGGTCAGGTTATTCCATTAGTAGAAAGAACAGAGAAAGCATAAGCTGGTGGGCCAGCCAGCTTACCCCCACTACCAGGTCCCTGCTCCATAGTAGCCTCAGCGCAGCTGCCTGGCAGACATGGAAAGTAACAGAGAGGCAAAAATGGCCCTACCTTTTCTGTTAATATCCAAGTTAGCCAAGAATCCTTTTGAGGATACTTGGAAAACACCGGGGGCTAAATCAGTTAGTGACCCTGAATGATTCATGGCCATAAACCTTTCCAAAATTCTACTACTGGGGAAAATCATTTTTAAAAGTCTCCCCATCAGAAATCAGGTCTGGCTGAGCTAAAACTTTACTGCAGTAGCTATAGAAGCTGATGACCCTCCTCCTCTCATTTTAGATCATAGAATGCCGGCTAATTTCCAATTCAATTAGAAGTACTCCAGAGAATGTGTGTGTGTGGACACCACCACCCAGAGGGAGCTGAAGCAGGTGGGCTGGGGATTGCTGTGGTAAAGATGCTGAATGCAGGATCCTGGGAGTGTGGCCGCGACATCTGCCATGGGATGGATCGTTCCCCAGACCTACACTGCTGCTTGGTCAGACCCCTGCGCCAGACGGGATGTCAGGAGATTCTCTTTTCTGGGTGCCAGGGAACAGGGTTACTCTGCCCTCCAGCCTGCTCAGAGCACCCGGAACAGGCCTGAGCCCTGGGCCCACAGATGGGAACCACCTCATCCTTCACTACTCCTTGCCCTACATTGTGATCCCTCAAGCTCCATCTTGGACCCTGGAACCAGCTTCTCCCCTCCGTAGCCCCTCAGCCCTTCCTGTTGCTGACCAGCGGCAGAAAGCCTGGGCAGTGAGTGGAAGGGAGACCATAGCACCTGCTCTGTGCTCATGGCAGGGACTCCGGCCGGTGCCCCAGGCTGGCCCTGCCTGGTGGTGCCTCTTCAGTGCTCCCTCCCTGCGGCTGCCCCATCTCGTCATCTGGAGGCCCCAGAGGCGGCACTGGCAGCAGTTTAGCCAGAGTCTGTCCCCAGAGCAAATTGTCTGGGAGCTCTGCCAGCTTGTGAAGAAAATCTGCTTTGTGAACAGGGGAAGAAGCCTCTTTTATGCTTTCTGCTAATCATGTTATTCACATAAGAGAGCTCTTCGTGCTTCCTTCCTTTCCCACAAGCCCCTGCTTGCCCAGGAGTCTTGAGGAGACCAGAAGGAAAAGGTGAACAGGTGGTGAACGATTGTCCAAAATATGAAGGAAACAGTAAAATATGGTGTTCTAAGAAACGGTTCCATTTCTCAAAGGGCTAAGTATTGTAATAAACACACTTTCTCAGAATAGAATTAAAAAAATGTTTAGCCTTGACTGGAAAGTTTATTGCGGCCCATTATAAGCACTCTTCCCCCTTCACAAAACAAATAGTAGTGTGTGTTATGTCTTAAAAAGCAAGCTGTAATTAACGTCTCTTGCCTACAAGGTTGACTCCTTTGTGATGTTTCTAAGCTGGTTTGATTTTCCCTGCCTTGACTTGTCCTTTCACTTTTGGCCTTTCTCTCTCCTCCCATCCTCTTTCTTCTATCCTGAGCCTTTTCCTTTCTCTCCTTCACCACATTCCCTTTCTGAAAAAGTGAGTAGAGACCAACGCCTCATGTATAACAATAAAAGAATGAGACTTTTATATTAAATGTAATGTATTTAAAAAGTCAAGAATAGATGGACATCCTTCAAGTAATGAGTTCAGGAAGTTATGCACTTCACATCACTGTCCACCATTCTTCACAATGTTTATACAAATCCTCACTTGGAATTGCCTTTGGGGTTGATTTATAAGGCGCGCACACACACATACGCACACACACAATCTGTATACTTTAATTTTGTCTCCTCTTGATTATGTTCCTTCTTCATTAGATTTGGCTCTAAATGACAAATTCGAAATGAAAAAAAAAAATCACTCCAGAAGGACCAAGATTTGCCATCAATAACAATACACATATGTGTGTATGTTTTAAATAAGCCCTGAGGACATTCCCAACAGAGACAGTCCAGAATTACTTTGTGGAAACAGAGCAACAACGTTTGAGTCAGACATAACACCCAAAGTGGCTGTTTGGGAAGGTAGTGTTTCCTTTGGGTGTATCAGCTTGGCAAAGTTGGATGGTGTCTATTTTTAATCAGCCTTGGGGCTGGGTAGGGAGGCTCCTGTGACATGCGCGATGTGCACTAACATTTATTGGGTGCATCCTCTGTGATGTACCAGGCTCTGTGCTGAGCATTTCACATGCAAAAATCTCATTTAATTCTCCCAACAGCTCTGTGAGAAAGATGAGGCCTTCGGAGCAGGTAACTGGCCAGGGTCATGCAGCTGGGGAGTAGCAGACCTAGAATTTGGACCCATTTTTCTGACTCCAGGACTTGTTGACCAAGTCACCAACCTGAGGCGGGTCACTTGTTTCCTTCATGCTCCTAACACATGTAGTTGTTTAGAGCATCAAAGAGGACACTGCATGGAAACACATCCGAAGCTGCTCAGCATTAGACAAGTCAGTGTTCCTGCCTGTCTTTGTGCGGCTCTTTCTCCTTTGCTCTCAGTCTTCCCATTACATGTGTATTTTTTTCAGGAACTTGTTTCTCTATCTTTCTCCTAAAATATTAATGATTTCTAAAAGATCCAGGGATATTTTATGACTACAGATTTTGTAGATGTTTCTCACTTGCCTCGTAAATGAGATCTCTGTAGAAAGATTTATCATTGGCCTACCACTAGCAGCATGCAGTACTTTCTTTGTAAACCTTAGAAGAAATCTTAGTACATAAACATACTATTCTATCTAATATGCCCACAGTTGGTCTTTTCCAGAAGTTGGAAATCTTTCTTTCCTTCGGGAATTATACCTCCGTGTCTAACACCCGAAGGATCCATCTTTGCTGCCCTTTTTAATTTTCCCACTTTCCCATAGGCCTTTTCAGTGACAGAATTATCTCTGACCTTTCTGTGTGCATGCCCCGCTCCACACCTTCCCCCTTTCCTCTGTGCTTGGGAGCCTCTGAAGGGCATGACTGGATCTTCTCTTTCTTTTGGCTTCCTCCACAGACAACAACCCAAAGTGAGCCCAGAGAACTGGTTGGCAAAGACTGTTAACTTAGTTGCTTTACTCACTTGCAACCTTGTCCCACGTCCCTCCCAAGAAACCCTACTACTTTTTAACCTACCTCCAGGAGCTGTTTCCAGGTCAGCATATTAAATGAGAAACTGATGTTCCTCAAACAGAATAGAGGCAAGGATAGGTTTTAGAATCACTGACAATATTTGGTCTCTAATTACATTTTTTTTTAACTTATAAATCTTGGAGGTGGTTTTAGTACCAGCTTTCCAAAAAAAAAAAAAAAGGATTGTGACTGATTCAAATAAGAATATCACATAGGCCAGTGGCCATGAACTAATATGAAGAGGAAGGTAATCCTGATAATATGAGTAACAGCTTTGATCATGAAAATTCTTCAGGTTTGGATGATATATCAGGATAACACATTTTAAATTTTGAGGGTATGCCATTATTAATGGGAAAGATGAATACCTTTTGTAGGTCATAGAACACATCACCTCATAAGCCATCAATGCTTATTATGATAGAGTGATAGAATAATGTAAGAGACTAGGGAACCCCATTATGTCACCATTTCATAGGTGGAAAAATGGAAACAGTAAGAAGTTTCTTGGGAGGGAAAAGATTGGTTAAAAGCTAGGATTGATGTAATAGTTCTTCTAATTAAATGACAAATTCAACATAATGTATTTTATTCTTCTAGTAGTAGCACTTCATAGTGTATATATGCATAGAAATCGTGATCCTTTCAATAATTTTAATCCTCTTTAATATAGTTCCAGAAATGAAGAACATTGAAGTTTGAATTTTGCCTCTTGATAAGCTCAGACACTGAAGTCTAGCCATGCTATCCTTCAAGTGCCTCAACTTGAAGGGGTTGGTATGGAGCTGGGGGTGGTGGACAGATAATAATTAGGCATACTAAGGTGTTGTTGCAATTTAATTAATATTTATAAAGCACCTGGAGATCGTCAGATGAAAGGAGCTCATCCAAAGAACAATTATCTCATGATCTCTCCCATGTTCCTGCTCCAGGTTTTTTGGCCAAAGTGAAAGGGGTTAACCTAGAGTCTGGGAAGCTCTGCTACCAGAATTATGATGAAGACTACAGACATTAAGCTTGTCCCCCCTTGTGCAGAGTGATGGTTTACTTCGGGTTGCTGAACTGCTGCTACAAACCACTTTGTCCCCAGGAGACAATGTCATATCTATCCATCAGGCCTGCAGCTGGGGAATTTTCTGTCTCAGCAACTCCTTGTCCTCAAAGCAGGCTCACGCAAGAAGTCACAACCTCCTCCTGATAGTTGGTGTAATGTTTCATTTTTTTCAAGATGGGTAAAAAGAACTAAAGTCTTTAGGATACAGCACAAATGGGTGGATTCCAATAGCCATGGGGGGAGAGAAATTGGGAGAAAGAACAGCCTGTATGTCCCTTCTTTTGTCCCTCATTTCTGGAGTCCACCCCCAGAAGGAAAGTAGAGCAAAGATTGGGCCTCAGTGGTGAGGTGACTGTAACTGGCATTGAGAGGGCTCCTCTCTTGGCTCCCACAGCGTCTCCTGGGATTGGCCACAGCATTGCTGACTACTGAGCCCCTAAGGGCCTCCTCTTCCTCCCGAGCATTGGGCACTGATATGTACTGGAAAAAAATGGCCATTCGCGGGCAGATGTGGAGGCCTACCTTTACTCTCAAAATTAGGAGTGCCCAGTTCAGTTCAGCTCTGACAAATACAGTGGGTGCTGGTGCAAAGGGGATTTCTGCTAGACTTTTTCAAAGTGTCCCTGTAGGACCATCTGCATCAGAATCACCTGAAGAACGTCCTGATTCTGCGGGCCTGGGACTCTGCATTTTAACAAGCTCCCCACGTTTCTCTGAACTAGCGCAATACCCTGACCCACTCCTTGTTGAGACCAGTCTTGGTTAAAAGTTTGGTTCTGGGGCGCCTGGGTGGCTCAGTGGGTTAAGCGTTTGCTTTCAGGTCAGGTCGTGATCCCAGTGTCCTGGGATGGAGCCCCACGTCGGGCTCCCTGCAGGAAGCCTGCTTCTCCCTCTGCCTGCCGCTCCTCCTGCTTGGGCTCTCTCTCTCTCTCTCTGGCAAATAAATGAATAAAATCTTAAAAAAAAAAAAAAGTTCGGTTCCAATAACCAATACAGGCTGGATATTCTGATTGCCTGGGAAGAGAGAAGCCATCCCTGTCTGCTGGCTTATTAGGTGGCTGCTACCTCTTTTGAGAAAATGTCATGTAAATTACTCATCAGAGAATACTGAGGAACTGATTCCTTTGGCTGTTCTTCAGATCTCCCAGATGCACAATTCTGTCACATACTAAACACCTACTGCAAATACCCTATGGCAGGTGTTTCTCTGTAACGGCTGCTCTGGCTTTACAATGTAAAATCTGGCTGGCAGAGGCAGGGGCAAAAGTTCTTATGTTCCAAGAAAACTGGTACTCATTTAATCAATGTTCTCAGCTACTTCCTGAATCTGTTTTTTTAAGCTAAGGAGCACCTATCTATCATTAGGAGTTTTTCTAATGACCCGGAGTCAGGTCTGGGTATCAGTGAGTTCGACAAGAGCTTAGTCTTTGACCTGCGCTCAGGCGTATGTGAAGTTCTATGTTACTATCACCTGCCTTCCTCATTTATTCATGTCTGGGCCCTGGCATTTCCCCAGCTGATGCCTCCCTCTCCTCTTCTGGTTGGAAGCAAGGAGTTTAAGCTTTCTCAGCTCCCATAATGGAGGGAGCTTAGGCTGACGGAGCACGAACCAACTGTGGGATATCAGAGAAGTGACACCACCTCTCTGAGCCTCAGTGGCTTTATTTGTGTACATGAGAAGAATAACGCTTATCTTGCCAGGAGTAAATCCGATAATGAATGTTAAGTATCCTGCCTCATACCTGGCCCAGGGAAGGTGCTCAGTATGTGATATAATGTCACGCTCATCCTCTCTGGGCTCTTAGACTCCCTCCCCCATGTGTCTCTGCCCGCTCACCTAACCCTGGATGCAGCCAGGACCCAAGCACGATTTAGCTGGGCGGGGGGGAGGGGGGTCATTCTCAAAGTACTTCTTCACCCTAGCACATTCTTCAAAATTCATCCCCCTCTCAACGGTTTTTAAGATAAACTGTTAATAAAAGCAGGTATTAAGACTATGATGACAAGAAGAGAAAGAAAGCAATATGAGATGCAAAATATGTGGGTACCACTTT